ACAGGCGATATGTACTTGGATTTACTACAAAATGTCATCGACCCAGCTCTAACAAATATCATAGAGGACGACCCTGCTTGCAATGAACACGAACTGATTTTCCAGCAAGACGGAGCTCCTCCACATTACTCGCTCAATGTGCGCAATTACCTAAATGAGACCTTTCCAGGACGCTGATAGGACGAAGAGGTGCAATTGAGTGGCCCCCTCGGTCACCCGACTTAAATCCTTTAGATTTCTTTCTCTGGGGGCACATTAAAAGCAAAGTTTACAGCACTCCGCCATTTTTTTTGTATTTTTTCCGTACAATTGAATGGTGTAATCATTTTTTTTAATTTAAACAAATTATCAGCAATTACTAAAAAATTCATTGTTGCAAGTCATTTTTTATTGTTTTTGCATTTTTGAGCATGTTTTTGAACTGTGATGACAGATTTTTTTATTTCACCAAAAAGTATATGTCAAAACGAAAAAAATGACACCGACAGAATTCTCTATGATGATGAAGTAGAAGTTTTCGTTGAAAAAGTGTTTCAGACTGGAAAAAATGAATCTCGGAAACATCTTGATTTTTTTATCTAAAAAAATGGTGTTAATTTAAGACACAGAAGGTATACCTTCACCAAGTTTCGTCAAAATGAAATTATTTTTGCGGAAATAAAAAACGAAAAATAAGAAAAAAATTTTTATTTCGCATTTTTCTCGGAAATTTTGGAGTTATCCTAAAAAGTGACATTTACAAATGTTGCATGATCTACAACTTTTGTATTAGATACTTTTTTGTTTGATGTCATCTCTCGCCAGAAATTCCAATGATACAATTTTTTACATCTTTTCAACCCCCCCAAATCAACCCTACGCCACCCCTGCTCACGCATTTATTTTTTTACGTTTATTATACCTTTACCATGTCCACTTATAAAAGTCCAGGTAACATTTTTTTTCCTTCTAAATGAGTTATTGATCGGTCCTAAAAATATATGAAACAGAATTTAGAAGCACAATATACTTTGAAAATAATTGCTGATCACTTCGTTTGAGAAAACGATATAGAAACTTTCAAAACTGCCTTAAAAATATTATTTTTAAGTCATTAAAATTAACAACAAAATAAATATGAACTTCTAGGGTTTCTATCNAAAGTTGTCCCCCTCAGAAACAAATTTGACCTGTTTTTGGATTTTGCCGAAAAGTTCTTTACTACCCTGTAATGCCTTGCGGTACGTTTTCGATGGGCTCCCCTGTATAATATATACATTGTGAATACGTATAAGGTGAGTCGGAAGGTAAAATTTTTGTGATAATTTGGGTGGGTTATGGTATAGTAAATAATTACCAATATAAGTACTCACGAGTTCTGTGCTAATTTCACGTAAGATTTCTAACACAAATACATTGCTCTCAGCTCCTGGTATAGGTCTAACATGTACAGGATAGTTTATACAGAAGTAACACAGTTTCATTTCCACCGTTCCAGTAGTTGCACTGAAGTACTGCATCATCTCGTCATCAGAATAAAGGCTAAGTAGCACCTTTCTGGAACTTTTAAAACCAATGGTGTTATGTAGATTTTTTTCACACTCTGTACAAATGATTGGATTATTGCTGACACTGAAATTCTAAAATTATAAATATTAAACAATCACTGAAATAACAAGTTTTATTTTGTGTTTACTATTACTTCACATGTAAAACTAAAGAATACTGAAAAAAATGTATACTATACTTACTAAATACAACAGCAGTACGTCTGAAAATTCCAATGCAATTTCCTCAGTTATAGTTAAACAATTATCAAACTTGGTTGTAAGACAAAGTCTACAAACATTTCTCTCCATTAAACTATCCATAGTTGCGTTCGTACATACTTTCAGAACAGGATTTGGAATTTGTAGATATCAACAAACCTGTTATGTGTGATGTACAAATGTAAACAAACAATTTAAGAAAACAAAAGCCACCCAACCAAAACTATTTACAAGCAATCTTTAAATTGGAAAAAAGTCAGAGGAATAAAGAAGAAGAAGAAGAAGTTAGCTTTATCCATATACATACAATCTACAGATAGTAAATATATGGCTTTTTCAGACATTTTGATATAAACCTATATTGTGACCACAGTATACTAATCAATCAGTATGGAATTTTAAATGATTTATGAATGAATTTCGTATGGCAATTTTTAAATACCCCCACCCTAGGAAAAGTAGCTGAGAATATGTCGGATCCTTCGAGCATATACTACCGGAAGCATGCCATTGCGAAAATTGTGGCAGAGTGTGCGAGAGAGACAGACAGTACCTCAGTACATGCTGTCTTACATCAAGTTTACAAGTTGTCAAGTTTACATTTTTTGGTTAAATACAGGTTTAGTTATTTGAATTCCAGCAGAAATAATTTAGATTAGATTATATTGGTTTGAATTTTATAAATTTTGTTCAAAAACTTACGAAAGCGTATTTATTTTCTAAACATATATTATATGTATACAGGGTGTTTCAGTTCGAGTGAATCAAACTTTAACCACAAATTGAACTCAATAAATAATTTAGAATTGCCTTATAAAGCAAAAGTCCCACCGTTTTCACTGTACAGGGCCGTATTAGTCGGTTATTAAAATCATATTATTTACGAAATCTTTATAACAAATTGATTCAAATTTGGTGTGGTGTTATAGTCCTTCCGAAGTCAACTGAATATGCAAAAAAACGTCTGGTAATAAAATTTAATGAGTTTCATAGGCGTCCCTAAAAAACAATTTCTGCCAAAGGTAAAAAATTATAATAATTTGTATATAATGTGTAGGAAATTTCTATTATATGTTCATTTGGCCAACAACATATTTTAATTATTTATGTCCTCAAACAATTTTATTATATTGGTGGTAAATTTCGTTTTGTTCCGTTTCAAAAGGTCTCTAAAATGCCATGTTGTGATAATATTAGTAAACAAAATATCCCTCTTATTTCTCCCTTTCGCAATTGTAATATGAATGATTGATAGAAGATGCCTATAATAAATTAAAATTGCCTGATTCACACCAAATTCCGCACTGCTGCACTGCACTGCTGGGCAATTTATGAGCCACTTGTCACCTGCTGTGATTTATTGCCCAGAAGCCCAATACAACTGTGCTCCTTTTCCTTTGGCCGCGCTCGCATTCTTCAACGGAGCGTATACATTTCTGTCATCTCCACGTTTAGTTCGATCAGACCTGTTTATGGGTATGACTAATTAAATATTGGAACAAGTTTTTCAAATATTTCAATGCCGAGTTGTTGCTTAGCGACCGAGCCTGGTACATATACCTTGAAATTATTGGTTCTTCAATTGACTTCGGAAAAACTATAACATTTACACATGTGTATAATTTACTGTAAAATTTACAAATTTATGTGGCGTAGGAATGGATAGTTAAGTGGGATTTTTTACCCCAACTTCTACGCCAATGACCTAATAATTATTTGGGATTCAGTTTTAGATTCTGTCGACAATTCTACATAAAAAAAGGTATACTGTATCGTTTTACCGAAAATCTCTATTGAATGGTAGACCGTTCTTCTGATAAGAAAGACAAACACTAATATTTCAAATCTTTAAGAGGAATTCACCACATTACAAATGCAATAAATAAGACACAAGGGATTATATTTAGAATTTACCAGTCGTTTCGCCGATGTAGACATATTATTTAATATTGTTTCGAATTCTGAAGTTAATGCGTGACATTATAATAGTATTAATTTAAAATTTATTTCCTATCCCTAAGAAACTAAATTTTTTATCAGAAAAACGTTCTCCCATTCAACTGAGATTTTCAGTAAAATAATACACTATACCGATTTTCAAGAAGTATACCTTTTTATGTAGAATTATCAACGGAATCTAAAAATGAATCTCAAATGATTATTAGGTCATTGGCGTAGAAGTTGGGGTAAAAAAATCCCACGTAACTACCCATTCTGACGTCACTGACCTACAAAAATTTGTAAATTTTACAGTAAATTATGAATATATGTAAATGTTAACACCACGACAAATTTGAACCAATTTGTTATAAACATACTAAAGATTTCGTAAATAATATGATTTTAACAACCGATCAATACGGCCCTGTATAGTGAAAATGGTGAGACTTAGACCCTTGCTTTATAAGGCAATTCTGAATTATTTATTGAGTTCTATTCGTAGTTAAAGTGTGATTCACTCGAACTGAAACACCCTGTATGTAATGTCCACGAACGCGGTTATTTCGGACCCGTTTGGAGATGGTGACGTGGTTGGGGGCTAGACATGACAATCCCCTCCTCAGGCAAGCCGTTGACTACGTACCCGACGTGACCGACAAACACAAAAGACCTAGACACCAACTTGACCCTGGGTGACCACCCCAATGACCCCCTCCCCCTGCCCGCTAACCTTTTCTGTTTCAGAGACAGCCAGGATCAAGAAACNCGTGCCATGATTTGGTCGCCGACGGTGAAGGTGACGACTGGTTGAGTGTCTCGCCTGTCATATCTGGCCTGGAAGTCCAGTTGCCTGGCTCTGATGATTTCCCTTCCGGGACGGACTGGTCGTTCCCGCTGCCTATTGTACTCGGGGATTTCCCACTGGCCTGGGACTGGAAGTTGGTAGCCTAGCACTAGGTTGCTAGGTGCTTCGCCGGTAGCCTCATTCCGCCGGTTGCGGAGTGTGAAGAGGGCCCTGGGGAGATAGCGATCCCAGGTACGAGCATCCTCATCCAAAGTAAGTACCCGCAGGACCTTCTTCCGCTCCTGGACCCGTCTCTCCACGGGGTTAGCACGTTGGTGTTCGACGGCGGTAAAGAGGGACTCCATTTGATTTCTCTGAAAGTAGTGCTGCACTGTATTGCCGGTGAAAATGCGACCGTTGTCGCTGACGACGGTCCTCGGGGTACCGAATCGCTCCACGACATTCTCATCCAAGAATCTCGTGAATTCCCTGGCTGTAGCAGACCTGACAGCTTTAGCCTCCACCCACTTGGTGCAGAGGTCTTCGGCGATGAAAATAAAGCTATTCCCAGCGAGAAACTCGGTATAGGGACCGAGGACGTCGACGCTGATGGCTTCGAAGGGTGCCGTTGGTTGATGGGCACGTAGTGGAGCAGCTACTTGGGATCTGTTAGGCTTCACAGCGGCGCAGATTACGCAGTCCTTTACGTATTGGCCTACGTGTTTGGTCATCCTACGCCAGGAGTACGTTTGCTGGATTTGACGAAGTGTTTCGTCGCGTCCTGGATGGGCTTGGGCAGCAACGTCGTGATGGTGGTAGATCACGCGTCTGGCCATGCGACGTGGGACTACTAGGAGCTGCTTATCGCCGTCTCGACGCCAAAGGAGGTTATATTGGACCAGGTAGTCTTGTAGGAACTGGCGTTCCCTGGCGGACGTGGGTCCGTTATCCCGGATATTGCGCCATCGCAACTTGTCCTGGGTGACTGTTAGGGACTGGACTTGGGCTGCCTTAACTTGCTGGTACACCTCATCAAAGATGAGCAGGTTGATGGTAGGAACCTCCATTCGGGCAGGATCGAGCATCGATCTCGGGGTTGTGGTTGGTTCCGGATGCCGACTCAGGAAATCGGGCAGCTCATTATTTTTTCCTGGACAGTGTTCCACGTAAAGGGAATATACCTGCAGCAGCAGGGACCATCTGGTGAGCTTCGTTTTGGCGTCCCGTTGCTTGTTCAGCCAGAGCAAGCAACGATTGTCCGTCCGAAGGGTAAAACGGACGTCTGCGAGCAAGTGGGAATAACGTTTGATGGTCCACACGACTGCAAGGGCCTCAATCTCGTTCACGTGATATCGCTTCTCCGTGGTGGTGAGGGAAGCGCTGGCGTGGGATATGATACGTCGTTGCCCGTCGTCGGTTTCTTGAAAGAGGACGGCACCTATGCCCTCTAGGCTGCCGTCGGTTTGATGTATCATTGGCAACTTCGGATCAGGTCGGTGAAGAGTGAGTGGCTTGGCAGCTGCTTGCTTCAAAGCCTCGAAAGCAGCCTGGGTATCTGCGGTCCACACAAATTTGATATCCTGCCTCAGCAGGTTGGTAAGGGGCTGAGTCAGCTGGGCGACGTTTGGGATGTATTCCCGGACCCAGTTGATGGTACCCAAGAAGCTTTGAAGCTGCTTCTTGGTTCGTGGAGCCTCGAACTTCTCCAAGTCCCAAATGTGCTTGGACTGTGGCAGAATTTTCTCTCCGGATATGTGGTGGCCGAGGTAATCCAGCGTCCGTGTGGCGAAGATACACTTTTCCGCCGATGCCTTGAGGTTGTGGAGCCGTAATCGTTCGAAAACCAACGACAGATGGTGAATATGTTCCTCCATGGTTCTGCTAAACACCAGGATATCGTCCAGGTAGACCTTTACAAATTTATGCAGAAAGCCAGGGAGGACTTCGTGGGTCATCAGACGCTGGAACGTGGCGGGAGCGCCCTTGAGCCCAAAAGGCATGACGGTAAATTGGTACAACGCCCCATCGGGCGTGGAAAAGGCGGTGAGTGGCATCGTCTCAAGGCTCAGAGGAATCTGCCAGTATCCACTGCGCAAGTCTAACAGGGTGAAGATGGTGGCATCATTGAGGTCCCTCAGGTTGTCGTGAATTTTCGGCAACACTGATGGTTCGTCCTCCGTCAGGGCATTTAGTTGCCTGTAGTCGACGCAGAAGCGTGGCTTCTTGCCCTCACGTTCGACTATAACAGGCGGAGACGAATAATTGGACTGGGATGGCTCGATGATCCCCTTTTGAAGAAGCTCGTCCACCTGATCATAAAGGATCTGCTTCTTGTGGGCCGACATAGGGTATGACCGCTGATTGACACGCCCAGGTGACTTCAGGGTGACATGGTGTCTTGTCGAAAAAGTGGTTGGTTGGATGGTCGGATTCTCGAAAACGTCTCGGAATTCGAATAACAGTGGTGTTAGGGTATC